AGATTAGATCCCTGCAATTGAGAAATATTTGTTCCTTTTCTGTTAATATCACTTCGCCAAAAGATGCTTGAATTAAGATTGTTTTATTTTATACTCTTATTTACTTTTTTAGCTTCATGACTCTAACAAAGTTTCAGGTTTTCATGCAGGGGGTCTTCACAGCTGACATGCCTGCTTCCATTCTGTTTGTTGGCTTTCAGGTGGCCAGAGATCGCGCTGTYGAACGCTGGAAGTTTACTGAAAACCTGGGAGAGGTGGATACAGACTACGGATCAGGATACCCTAATGGTAGGTTTTTATCACACTAACTATTCTGATAAAACGTCTGGTAGTGAAACTGACTGTGTTCTGTGTTTCCAGACCCTAAAACTAAAGCCTGGCTGCTCAAATACCTCGACCCGGTGTTTGGTTACCCGCAGTTTGTTCGATTCAGCTGGAGCACGGCACAAACTCTGATGGACAGCCAGGGAGTGTCTGTTCACTGGTACGGTTCATGGACTTGCAGAAGCAAAAGAAGGAATGCATATCKCCCACCAGCTTTCACACCAGAAATTTAAACTAAGATGAACAAATAAAAGTCAAAGCCATTTAGTTGAACTTRGTGAAAWACAATGTGTAATCTCGTGGASAATTGAGAGATTTAGTGAGATACAATAGYGCTCAGAGWAYGTGTTGGGGATGACTCTCAGCTACTACCACACCATCCTTGTGATGGCTATGATCAAACTGCTGTAGCAGCCATCTTGAATGCCTCCAAACKTTGTGGATTTTAATCCACTGATTCCAGGAGTTTGATTTTGAACCAATMCCCTGCYTCATGAGATGTTTTGCTAACAGACGGAGAAACTAACAGACGTGGGCAAAGACATTATCGTGCCTTTGCCTCCGGTGGCACACGATCAAAAGTTTAGAAGGTGACATTTTAAAGTTCAGTAACAAAATGTAACACACAGTTTCTGCCCTCGGTGATTCTCATGAAGTGTTTGGYTTAATAAATGTTTTTCTTCCAGTTGTTGCTTTTTTTTTTTCAGTAAAATGCAAACAGAAGACTTTGCTTTGATATAATTTAGACTAAGAAAACTTGTTGGTGACTAAAAGCCACAAAGCCTTTGATTTAATGATCACACTTAATGTCTGAGAAAATCATTTGTCCTCAGGAAATGAGTTTTAACCACTTAAAACAAAACTGTCCTAACTCCTCCTGCAGGGACGACGATGAAGAGGACGGGGAGAAGGCAGCGAAACGGCAGAACAACCGCTCCATGTTGTCATACTTCAGCGCTCCAGCTGAAGGTGAAAAGACCCATCAGACCCACCGTTTCTTCACTGACCGGAGGCTGAAGAGCCTGAACTCACTCTGAACACACTTTAGAAGACGYCCACTCCTGTTGAGTATTTAAAGCTTGTGTGTGAGGAGTGTATCTGTGTACAACCAAACATTTTTACAGTCTAAAAAGTAATTTTTTGGCTTTTTCCCACTAAACATAACATGTCCAGAACCACAAGATCTAACAGAAAATTTAAATAAAATTTAAAACTGCAGTTTTTTACATTTTGACCATAAAGAACTACAACGGATTTTTAACGTTTATTATTATTTTATACTAGGATAAAAGCAGAAGAAAAATAATAGATAAAATTAAGTAGGACAAAATCAAAAAGTGATAATACCCACATTGATAAATGACCGATTTGATTCCTTTCAATGATTGTTATAAATGTTTTTGAGTAAACACAAAAGTGCAGGATATTAGACATTTATTCATTATTCTCTCTTAATAAAAGCAGAAATCTTCTTTTACTTTAATCTTTATAAAGTTTTTATCAAAGACAAGTTTCGTAGTTTGAATTCTGCTAAGAGAAGTTCCATGTTTCATTTTTTTTTAACATTTTATTTTTCTGTCTCTACAAAGTCATTTTGTTTTTCTCCTCAGCAACTTGACTCGAACATAAAAAGATTTATTTTCTGATGGAATTCACACAAAGATCACAGTGTTACAAGAAGGTGGATTCACGAAGCAGCTATAAATCTTAAACGTTATTAGCACAGACTGATCAGTGCATTTTGCCTCCTGTAAAATTAGGACCATTGTGTCAGAAATGTTTTATTCCCATAAAAATGGACAGGAAAACGTCTGAAACCAGCAGTTTTACACATAAACATGATTTGTTTCTGTGTTATTTTTGGTCAACGCTGCAGAGAGGCACCAAAGAACATGTGGCTCCAGACCTCTGTCTTAAATTATCAGGGTATTCTTAAACAGCAGAATTGTTGTCATCAATGCAGAGTTGAAATCACAATCTGTTTGTTTTTCTAAATAAAATATGTTTTTTTTWAAAAATGCTTGTAGTATGAACTTTGTTTAAAAATTTCCTCACAGAAAAGCTGGATTTACAATGTTTAATTACAGCACTGCCCTCTGGTGGTAATAATCAGTATGACAAGCATTTTATTGGTTGCTGAGAAGAGCACCACATACACTGCTCCTCTTCTGTCTCACAACAAGTGAATACAAATTTGAGATGGATTTATAAATTACACTGTTCTGTTCTGTGGCCGAGCCTGTTTGAGACCTTGTTTGTGCTGCTTAGCCATTAGCACACAAGTTCAAGTATATATATATATA